TGCTCCGTTTGCACAGTACACGAGAACAGTAATTGATGCTATTGAGCTGCGGTGTTGGAGAAGAGTAGAGCACTGAACATCCTATGGATTGCCAAAAGAACAAACAAGTATGTCTTAGAGAAAGTGCAGGCAGAGTGCTCCTTGGAGGCAAAGGTGATCAAGCTTCATCTGACTTATTTCAGGCGTGTTGCTAGGAGAGGCTATTCCTTGGAGAAGGGCATCATGCTTGGAAAGGCGGAGGGTAAGCGTGAGAGGAAGACACTCAACCAGTAGGATTGACACAGTGCTGTGATGAAGTCTACTGTGTCAGGAGGATGGCACAGGGTAGCACAGGGTTCAGATCTGTTGTTCAGAGGGTCTCTATGGGTAATACACAACGAAACAGCATCTAACAACAGTCAGCTGACAGGATATCATGTAGCCACACGTTATTAGAGTGTATCTTACTTCAAACTTGAGTGGTGATGTTGTAAAAGAGGAATGACAGAATATTTTGAGCCATGTGCAAATGCATCTGCAAGAGAAAAACGACCTGGGCTGTTAGAAACTGAGGGACAGAAGGAAGAATCTCCCCTAGACCCTTTATAGGGCCTACCTATACGCTGAATCAGTGCCTTTGAGCTGTCGTGTTAGAGAATATGGACTTCCAGAAGAACGGACGAATATATTTGTCTTGGAGAAAGTGCAGCTGGAACAGAATGCCCTTTGAGGCAAGATTGTGAAGCTTCCTCTCACATACTTTGGACATGCTGTGAAGAATGGCCAGCCCTTGGAAAATCACATCATACTGGGAAAAGTAGAAGGTCAGTGAAAGAGAAGAAGACCTTCACCAAGATGGATTGACAGTGACCATAACAATGAGCTTGGGTATATCGGAGATGATGAGGATGGTACAAGACAGCGCCAGATTCAAATCTGTTGCTCAAAGAGGACATATAACAACAGCAGCCGCGTACCCTAAATTTAGCCTCTAGAATAACAAGCCAGCAAATTGTCTGCCTTTTACAGGCATCATTTGTCGTACTTTGTGATGGTAATTCTGGCGAACTAACAACTTGGTCTTTAGTAGAAATGATGTGGTGGTTGTTAGTATCCGTCCCACAACTATGGCTCATGCCGACTCTGTGAAGGTCGGTTTGGAGCCTTGCCCTTTATACATTATACATACATATTGGTGTTGTTATGTACCCTTGAGTCAGAACCAGCTCATAGCTGACTCTCCAGCGGGTTTTCAGAGGCAATAAACCACCCAGGAAGAGATTTCCATCGACCTTCAGAGCAGCTGGTGGATTTAACCATACACTTGTGTGTCTGCAGCGCCACTGAGGCACCAGTGCTCACTGAAAACTGGATGGATTACCTTTGATTTCAAAACAGCTCTCTGCTGAGAAGTTGATTACATTTTCCTCTACCTGGACTGGCTTTTAGTTATCCTTGCATGATTTTGTTCCAATTTTTCTGCGATATAAACCATAAACATATCTTATTCAGCGTGTGTCTATCTGTTGGTTGAAAGCCGAATGATTCCAGTGGTTTGTAGAGTGATTTTCCCAGTGTGTTTTGCTAAACGTATTGTATCTTTTAGATTCTTTAGGTTGATGACATTCTTAAAAGTGTCTGTGTTTCTCATCGCTCTTGAGTTGGAGCTGACGTGGAGCTGACCTTGTGTCGTGTTTCCGAGGCTGTAAATTCCCCAAAGAGAGATTTCCCGTCCTCTCCTTGGGAGTAGCTGGTGGATTTGAACCCGCAGAGAAGAGCAGCCTTTGGGTTAGCTGCACAGTTCACTTTACACTGTGCCACCAGAGATAGCTCCCCTTAGGATAAATGATGAACCCTGGGTAGCATGTCAGGCTGCTAGGCAAAAGATCCTGATTCAAATCCAGCATCTGCTCCAAGAAGGGTGATGGGCAGATTCTGCAAAGATTTACAGCTTTGGAGACTCAAGGGGGGTCAGCATGAATCAGAATGGACGGGGGGCAGTGGGTTCAGTTTTGATTGGTGATAATCAACCTTCTTTGGACCGTCTTAGTTCTCCAGGGGAAACACTGACACAGAATCCTGGACCTGTAGACTGTGGAGAAGCAGCGGCTGCCTTGTGTTTTGTCCTCGGCCCTTTTTGGCCTTATGTTCTCTCTATGTTAAGAAGAACTGTATGCACAATATGTTCTCTATGCCATAATAGGTTTTGTGGGTATCTATCAAGTTGAACAGCACTTATCTTTAAAAATATCAGTTAATGAATGGAAAATAAACAGGAAGCCATAATGTTACATTACTAATTTTTCTCTCTCAGTGGTAATGTTGGCGGCCCTGGTGGCCTAGACCTTAGGGAGAGGTGATGAGGACTTGGAGGTGATGGTGTGAACTCACAGCTCCACAGGAGGAAGCCAGGCAGTCTCCGGAAAGTGACGAGAGGGTCAGCTATGAGTCGGTTCTATCTCTGCGGTAATGAGTGATTGTGGGTTGCCTGAGCATTGGTTCCAATTGTAATATGAATAATTTTTTTTGTTACATTGGGTAAGTTATAGATAGAAAGAAATTCTTTTAAATCTGTAATTCAGTCATATAGGGGAAATAGATTTCATTTTTTCTCGTCTTTATTTTTTAACAGTTTGTGTCTTTTTCATGTGAGCTCCATTAGAGCTCTAGATGTCTTATCATTTTGTACAATATAAACTGCTTTTCTGTTTGATAATAAAAGTACCTTTTCCCTAAAGTGGTAAAGTCTTATTCTATACCTAAAACTCAAGATGTTAACTTTGTAAGTTCGTGTTCATTTGATAATGCCAAGACTGAGTCTATTTTTCAACAGTGTCACTTCATCATAAGTTTTCTTCATGTTCTGTGCCCATTTCTCAAAGAATTCCCATTGTTTTACATGATAATCGTACATTTTGCATTTCAATAGAACAGTACTTTTTTTGAAAAGTTGAAGCTCTGTGGTGTTGATGTTTGAAGTAATTGTGTGGCGTTGAAACCTGTTAGGTGCTATCAAGTCAAGTGTGACTCATAGCAACACTGTAAACACGAGATTTGACCCCTGTCCCAGCCTGTGCCCGCCTCCTCATCTCGGACACAACTCATCCCATTGCTGCAGTCATTGCATCAGTCTGTCTCATCCTCCTCTCCATCCCTGACCCTCCACCTTTCCAAGCATGATGTCTTTCTCTAAGGAATAACCTTTCCTGGCAACATACTCAAATTATGTGACACAAAACTTCATTCTCTTTGCTTCTGAGGAACCTTCTGGTTGCACTTTGGCCAAGACATAGCTGTCTTTTTATCTGGGAATCCATGGGGTATTCTGTGCTCTTCAATATCACAGCTCAAACTCATCAATTTTCTTCTGACTTCCTTATTCATTGTCCAAGTCTCAGCAACATAGCAAGTGATTTAAAAGACCATGGCATGGAATCAGGCCACAGCTTAATGTGAAAGCTGATATCATTGCTTCTCAGTAATTGAGAGAGGTCCCTGAAAACAATTTTCCCAATGCAATATTGTTGTTAAGTGCCATCGAGTCATTGGACGACTCATAGTGACCCTATGAACAAAAGACCTGAACATTTGTATACCTTTCATCCTTTCTCCAGGTTCATTGGGTTTCTGGAGGCAAGTCATTTCAGAAGTGGATGCAACTCCTGCTTCCAGGCTTGTTTTAATGGGGAAGCTCCACCAAACACTGTCCACTGTGGGTAACCATTGTCACATTTGACACATCAGTGTCACAGTGTTCTGCTTCACAGCAACCACAAGTTACCTCTGTACAGCAATGCATAGACCAGTATTGTACCACTTAGAAGAGTTTGAAAAAAAAAACCCAATTTAAACAAGTCCTGAAGGCTGAACTCCCAGGGGTATGATGGGATGGATTGTACCTTCATTCCATTTTGCAAACAGTGAAACATAAGAAGTGTTAGTAAAGAAGGAAATGTTTTATTGCAGTAAATATGAGTTCTTTCTCTTCAAGCCTCATGTCTAGCTCACCCTCCAGGCCAGGTGTGTGTTCTGATACTTCTGCAGCGTGGAATGAATAGTTGTGCAGTTCTTCCCCTCTTGTTTCTTAAGTGTTCTTGCAAGTGTGTTCCTCATGGAGACGCAGTGTGCACTTTTGTCGACTTTTTTCTATGAATGTGACATGACAGTGGCTGTTCTGGAATTCAGGGACATTCCTCCATTTTTTTTGCTGCAATTATTTTATTTATCTTATAAATATATAAAAGCAAACATAACAATAAATTAACTATAAAGTGGAAAATGTGGTTTACAAATGTAATTCCCCCTCCATCAGTCTGTGAGAGGGATCACCAAAGAAACAAACCAAAAATCCCAAAGAGTGCTAAAAATGCTATAAAATGAAACATATATTTATAACTAAAAGTAAACTGATGGAGGGTAACTTTTACAACATTATATATCCATCATCACCATCATCATTACATCTGTAATATTATATATCAGATTAGAGAGCTCTGATGGTTTGGTGTCAATAAGTTGCACTGCAATCCCGAAGGTAGGCTGTTTGAGTTCATCAGTAGCTCTGCAAAAGGATAAGAGGTCTCCTCCCAGGAGCTTAACCTGCCTCTGAAAACCTGCTGAAGCTCAGCTATGGGTCAGTTCTGACTCCCCAGCACACAAAAAATACCAACAACCTACTGCAGATTGGGGAAAAAAATAGCAAAGAAACATTAAGAAGACAGTCAGAGTTCACAAATTCCTAAGGCACTGACAATGAAACTCAAATCCAACAAACCCACTGATTATTATGGTTTATGAAAGGACAACTTGATGCTGAAAATCACAAATGCGAAACGGATGCCCAAGGCATGGCAGAGGTCTGAAAAGACAGAGCCTGGAAAGGCCAGAATGGCATCCTGTTCTTCGTGCATCCTTCCTCTCCTGGGTCCCTCTCCATTGGCCCCCGGCACTTGCACAGCAAAAGCCAGCGCTCCCGGCTCAGTCTCCGCCTGGGTGTCTGTGTGTCCTTCCAAGAGCAGGCCTCAGGAGATGCTATCAGGTCCTAGAACAGGCATTGCCTGGCTCCATGGAGAGGAGGGAGAGTGGGGTGGGGGGCACTCCTGGAGTCCTGGACTTGGAGAGGGGGGCAGAGGTGGCCGGGGGGAGTTGGGACCAGGCTCTGGCAGGTCAGGGTCCGGGACATGCACCCAAGGGGAGGGGTCTAGGGTGGAGTCCTCTGACCAGAGACTGAAAACACTCGTATCAGGGGAGCTGGGCTCAGTATCTGAGTCATCCTGAGGGTTGATCTAGAAGTCGGGTTCACGTTCTCCTCCTCTTCCTCGCCGGAGCTCTCTGAGGTGGATGAGCACTAGGGGTCCTGGTTGGGGAGGGGTCACCTGGTCATCTGTGGCGCTCAGCAAAACGTCCAGATCCAGGCTGAGGGATGTGTTTTTGCCGTGTTGTCCGAAGGCCTGGAGGAGGGAGCCCAGGCCGGCCTCATGCCCCAGGACCAGGGTGTGGTTTTGCAGGGAGACCCGCAGCACGCAGGCGGGTGGGGGCTCCAGCAGCAGGTCACCATCGGGCAAGGACACGTGCAGGGCACTGCCAGCGGCCAGAATGACCGCAGAGGTGAGGGCGTCCACGGCCTTGACCTGTTGACTTGGGGCCTCGGGCTCCTCCCATTGGTGGACCATGGAAGGAGGGGGTCCCTCGGGCTGAGGTCCAGTGGAGAAGCTGGGGCTGCGAACATGACCATGGCTCATCATCTCGAAGGTCAAGCTCACAGAGCTCCGGGGCTTGCAGAAGACGCGGGCCACAGGGTGCGGGATGGCCTGGTGCAGACGGTCCAAGGAATCTTCAGGGTGCATGGCATGACGTAGGCCAGTTGTCAGAGGCCCGAGATGCTTCCTGGGGTGGTGGCCGTCTGCGTCCAGAGAACTGAAGTGTGGAGCAGGACGAGGTGGTGTGTGCTCTGGGCCTCGACTGCTTGCAGACAGTGGGACGAGCCTGAGATGGGGGGCAAGTCTGAGCTGGGGAGGTCCACTAGCGTGCATGACAGCAGAGGAACGCAGGGCACAAAATGCCCCCTAAGCTCAGCCCCAGTGAGGGCATCCAGGACTAAGGCGGTGACAGGTAGGCCTCTGTCGAGAATATTTTTGCAGGTCTATATGGTACAACATTTATGCCCGTGATGGCGATAAATACACTTCTAACAGCCGGGTTTCAGGCCTGCAGGCGTAGCCAAGCCACATGGAGGTGTGAATCAGATAAGCTGCAGATCTTGACTGGGAAAAGCTGGGACAGCAGGAAGTCACACCAACTTTCCTCCATCTAAATTTTCACCTCCTAAAGTAGTACTTTCAATATGTCTAAAAGAAGGCCAGTTCAATAAAGGTAACACTATGTACGGTCTATGTGTTTTTAAAACTTAAAGGCTTTATAAAAAATATAGAAATATCTTATCTATGCCTAGATTTTTACCTAAATGATCCCGTCCTTGTCTTCAGTTGTATTCATGCCACAGGGTGCAGAGGACCTTTGCTTTCTGCTGTCTCCTTGCGAATCTCCTGATCTTTGCAAAGACCCACCTGAAGGTTGAGTCCTCCCGACTTCTTCAGTCCTAGTCCTTGCTCCGTTCTCCTGGGGCTCCTCGACTTCTTCAGTCCTAGTCCTTGCTCCGTTCTCCTGGGGCTTCCCGACTTCTTTAACCCTAGTCCTTGCTCCGTTCCCCTGGGGCTCCCCAACTTCTTCACCCTAGTCCTTGCTCCGTTCTCCTGGGGCTCCTCCCGCATCCACCTCTTCACCCTTAGTGTGAACTTGTATCATTTTTCCAGTACCCTGTAAACCCTTGAATGGTGATGAGATGGATTGATGCAATAACTAGGGCAATGGGATTAGGCATGTCAGAGTCCATAGGACCGGCTCACGACAGGGCAGGCTTCAGAGCTGTTGTACTTAAGGTCACTATGAATTGCAGGTGACACGAGGGCACATTATCACAACAGCATAATTAATGACTTTCTGTCTGGATGTTGACAGGTGCACCGTTGGGCAGACTTAGACTCTGTAAGGACTAAGATTGACACGGAACGATTCTTCCATTTGAAGAAAGGGAGTGCTCTATTTCTTTCTTTGCTCTCATATTGGGGCAGACTTTAGCTGTGTCCATTGGGTTTCCAGGGTTCTGAATGCCTTGAAAAGGGATGGTCCATATGCCCCTGAGGCCCCCATGCTGGATATGAGCTGCCAAGGAGGGGCGTTTGCTTAGAGTTCACCTCCCTGGGGATTGTGCTGCCAGGGCTCCCCAGAGACCCTGGAGGAGATCAACACTGCTGTGCGGGGAACTCCTTCTTCTTAGGAACATGTGGGGGAAAGTCTGTCAGAAACGTGACTGATGGTTCGAGAAGCAGTGTGCAGCTTTGCTGGGCAGCCTGGAGAGTTTTTGAACCAAACCCATGTTGAGGCTTGAAGGACATTGTTGTCCTATAACAGGGTCCATTATAAAGACTTCCCCCCCCCCCCGCCCCTTGGAGAGTGTATCTGGCTGTGGTGGATGGGCCCTGGGCCCTGAGGCTGAGGGAAAACCTTCTGGAAGTTCCTCAAAACAGCAGCATTCTGGTGAGCCACCTGCCACAGCCCCAGTGCGGCCACCCTTCCCTCGTGCACTGGAACACAAAACCTTGTTTCATTCTTTGGGATAAAGAGTTGGCACTCGCAGACATCGCAGGTGTCGAAGCCTTACCATCAGGGTTGGCATCACGTGGGACCCCCAGAGTGGCTCACAACTGCTGAGGTGGGGACCAGACAGATGTGGATGCATTTTATGTTCTTGCTGCTGCAGGGTGCTGTGAACTGAGGGGACCGAATCTCCCCAGCTGTTAACGCCCTCCTTCCCTTCCTCCTTTCCTCCCTCCCTCCCTCCCTCCTTCCCTGTCTCTCATCATCACTCCTTTGCTCTTCTTCCTATTCCTCTCCTCTTCCTGCCACTCCCCCCTTCGGTCTGTAAGCACTGGCTCCTTATACACCTGGGAGTAAAGTCGGCCTCATTCAGCCTCATAGGACACGTTGGAACACCCCCAAGGAGTCTCCTAGACCGCAGCCTTTATGAGATCGGATCAGTGGGTCTTTTCTCCCTCACAGAGGTTGGTGGGCTCCAGCGGACCTCTCCGTTGTACTTGTTGATGTTAGCTGTCATCGGGACAAGTGTAACTCACAGTAACTGTGGACAGCAGCCCTGCACCGACCGTGTCCTAGCCTGGCCGTCCTCACCTTCTCTGACCCACTTGATTCCATTGCGACAGTCACCATGGAAGTCTATCTCATTGAAGACCGTCCTCTCCTTGTCTGGCCCTCCACTTTTCCGAGCCTGATGTCCCTCTCCAAGGAATAGCCTCTCCTACCAACAAGTCCAGAGTCTAGGAGCTGAGGCTTCATCATTTTTGCCTTAAAGAAGCATCCAAGAAATGGACCATTGTATCGTCAGAGCTCCTTAAGTTGTGATGTGAGATGGGATTCTGTCACTTGGCCTCCATATAGTGCCAGAGGTCATGTTCACCTAAGTGTATCTCATCTCACTCCCTCGCTAAGCAAACTGTTTTAGCTGCTTCACCTCTGAAGCGTCGTATGTGTCATCTCACTCTTTTGCGTGGAGGCATTTCCACAGAGACACATGAGCATTCTCAGTTCAGAAGAAAATGAGGGAGCTCTGGTGGCTTAGTGGTGAAGAGATGCACTGCCAACCCAAAGGTGTGCGGTTTGAAACCACCTGCTGTTCTGTGATAGAAAGATGAGCAAACTTCCTGGGCACTTAACTGCCCTGAAGTGGGTGTCCTGTCAGCTATGAGCTGGTTCTGACTCGAAGGTGCACACACCACCAGCAGTGGAATAGTGATCATTTCTAAGGGTACATTCGCACAGTGGAATACTACGCAGCACGCAGGAGCAAGGATTTGGTAAATTACCACCTAACTTGAGAGAGACTGGAGAGCATTCTGCTGAGTGAACTGACTCAGTCCACAAGGATAAATGTTGTGTAAAACCATTACTGTGGAATGAGTATGAGGCTCCACGAGGGGCGGGGGAGGGTGGAAGCAGAGGGATGTGGATGTGTAGGGGGAGGGGCGGATGGATCATGGGGTTGTACAATTTGATGGGTGGGGGAGTGAAAGAAGTTGAAAAGTTCGTTCTTGAAAAGAATATATTCAAATTTTATAAATAAACTAGTAGAAAATTTAAAAGAAAAAGAAAGAACGTTATGTGTTAAGCATGTTTAAACACCTTGAAAACACCCAAATATTTATTTTTAGCATTGTGTCTTGGGAACAACAAGTAATTAATAGATAGTTATATCATTTAAAGAATGTAACTGTTTTTAAACAACAGGGATACTAGAGTAAATAAAATGGTTGAAATGTCAAGGAGAATAACACAAGAGAGCCGTTTTCATCGGCCCTAGATACGTTTACCTTCAAATGACTGCAATCTAAGGTAAACCCCACAGTCTTCTGGCCCGGGTCTGCGACTTTGCCTGTTAGATTATGAAACACAATGTGTCAGTACAATCCACACAACTGCTGAATGAATGTTCTCTATTTACCCACTCAAATGAAACCAACCTTCCTCTTGTTTGTAAACCTTCTATTACTGAGTGATATGGAATCACTTTTGCTTTGGAACGAAGGCTGACCTTACATGAGAACTATTTGAAAACAGTCTTTTGCCAAGGGAGCAGTGTAGTTTGAGGTTTAGGATGTTTGATTATCCGTAGACCTCACCAGTCACCTACCTCCCTCTCCCCAAGAAAAGAATGGACAATGTTTTACTACTGAATCAGAAATAGTGCTGAGTGTTTGACTGTGCTAGCCAGCTCTTTCCTGTTACACCAGTTTCTCTTTTTATAAAAGTGAACGCTCAGTGCTTGGAGAGTAATGTGACTGCAGGACACGTGGTGCTATCCGAATCCCTGTGGCTTTCAGAAATGGGGCATAGTGGCCTATGTCCGAGATTGGTCTAGTCCTACTTGAAGGAAGAAGGATGCAGTGACCTTTGAAAAAGCATTTCCAACCCAGCAATAGTCATATCAACCATAACAATTAATTAGGAAGAATTTTTCTAGCAGTGCTCATTGATTTTTATTGTATAACTCGTTAATGTATCTCATTGAAAACAAAGATATAGATGAAAAATGTTGCATGACATAACTTCTGTTATAAATGACTCATTATAGAATATTTCCTCCACAAGCTAACCCTACTTAACCCTACCTTCCCAGCGTCAAAGCCCTGCTCCAGAATGCACTGTTTTGATGCACGAAATACTTGTACACATCATGGATTGCAGACAGAATCTAAAGAACACCAAAAATATATATTATTACAAAACCTTGCAGATATATAGTCTTTAAAAATAACAAACTAAGAGGGATATGTGAATGGGGATTCTTGTCATTACAGAAGTCCAGAGTGAAGGCTGCATAGTGGAGTGGACTTGGGGGTAGGGATTGCATAACAATGAAAGAGTCTTTCTTTTCAAGGAGAAGAGTGAATTGTGGGTGAGGGAGTGGGCAGGGAGAAAAGTGCAACAATGAATGACTGGAAACCCTAACTCTCTGTAAACTTCCATGAAAATTAATAAAATAAAAAAATAGCAAACTAAATTAAGGTGTTTATTCACAAAAATGTTACATTATAATTAGTTGTTGTTGTTGTTGTTGTTGTTGTTGTTGTTAAGAACCATTGAGTCAAACAAGTCTGTGAGCAGCACTTGAGATCAGACCCTCTCCCTGGAAGCTGCTCTGTCCTCAGCCTCCCCGGTACCTCCTGGAGCTCATTGCTGCAGTCACTGTGCCAGCCCGTCTTGTTAAGGATTT